CTCCGCCCGGGAACCAATCAGAAGGGAGTTCTTTATTCCCGCGCTTGTATTTCCCGCGCTAGTATTCAACATGAGGCCCACCTCATCTCCCACGCACCTTAAAAAGAAGATGCCTCTAATCATTTTCAGAGAACAAAGCTGAACATCAGTCATGCTGAGAGCTTAATCCCTTAGATTTCTCTTTGTCACTCTTAATTTTCAATTAAGACTGCAAAGTAATCTATGGGCAGTTGATTATGGGCGATGGCCAATGGGCAAATGCTACAGACTATAAATATTTAGAACAGCCAGAAGCTGTTTGCAGAAATTCCTTTGCTCATATTAATATATGCCAAGCGTAACAGAAACGAGAACGATTTAAATAGAACAGCAGAGAAAAGAAGTTCTGTGTTTTTTCAGCTGGCTGGTAATGTAATAATCACATTGTTCTTTTTATGACCTCTTTCTGGGTGACTGCATCCTTGTAATACCTTCTCAATCTAAAAGTAAAAAGGATTTATGAAATGCCACAAACCCTGGAATCTTTGTCTCCAGGAGTTGGTTCAAAAGTAAGAGTAAGAAATAAATAAGGGTAAGATCTCACATAAGCATAAACCTTCACAAAAATATATACAGTAATTTAATCAGAAATCACCTTGCTTGCTTAATGAAATAGTAATAATAGTAATACAAAGAAATTTGGCTGTGGCCCTTGGAGTCACTGAACGATGCACCAATATAGCGTGTATCATTCACTGCTCCCCTGGTGACACCATACCTAGGCATATGCTGCCTGGTGCTTTTAAGTGCCAGTTATATTGAATGCTACTCTGTGATCCAGCACAAAATTAGTTCTGGGTGGAAACAATCTCTAGGTTCTTCAAGGTTCCTAGGGAGAAAAAAATGGCTTCTCACTATTAGGGATGGGAGGAGGAAACAAGTTAAACCACAACAGGGAACAGTTGAAAACAGACTGAAAATCCTTCTCTCCCACTATTCTTGTCCTCCTTTCTTAAGTGGTTCATTCTTTCAGTCCTCAGGAGTATGGCACCTGGATTAAAAAAAAAGGGGGAAACTTATTCAGATTAGATAAATTATACATAGGAAACATAACTGCATGGATGTTAAATATAAAGGCAGCATTTAGAAGAAATTGTGTAGACTCTTATCCAAAAGAACTGCTTTTATCTTATTGGTAAAATGAACAAATGATCATGTCCCTTCTGAGGATTAATCATTGAATATCAGCTTTCTCCAGGCTGCAGCACAATATTTTGACACTACAGTTGCTAAAATTTCTAATTAGTATAGGAATTGATTTTTTAAATGTCTGGAAACGAAGCATTGGAGAAGGAAGGAGGAGATGAGCTGTAGCTTATTCATTACCATTGGTTTCTTCTTCTTCTTCTTCTTCTTCTTCTTCTTCTTCTTCTTCTTCTTCTTCTTCTTCTTCTTCTTCTTCTTCTTCTTCTTCTTCTCCTCCTCC